CGTTAGTTAGTTTGTCACATCATTCACGTCTAACCCGAATATGTCCCCAATCACTTCGATATAGATCATCTGCGTCGGTGATCTACAGTATCGAGATCGTCTATAATGTTACTGTTGATCATTAAGAATGTATTTTGTTAGAAAAATGGTCGACATTCATATCAGATGTAAATTGCTGAAAAGCATGAAGTTCGAATACAGGTTTATAGTGCTTTAATGAACATTTTGTCATGAGCGTGAACAGCAAGGTCTAACAGTGAGTTAAAAACTGTGAAAACTTTAAGTAACATGCGACGTTTAAGGTCTAAGTTTCTGAAATGACAACCGATTTTCTGTGTAACAATGGGCGGTGGAGAATATGTCATATATCATTCAAGATGCTTCGAAATTATCCTTGTAGTAGCACATGGACAGTTTGTGATTCGTGGCCTAGAATACTGTCCTCAGAAGATGACCGGTGACGTTGCAATCACCGTCAATAGATGAAATCGCAGAAGGTATAAAGAATCCAACTGGCAAGCACATCGCTGCTACTGATGTAAAGACTACGAAGGCTTATCCCTCTACATGTAGGTGTCTATTATTATATTTCAGGTTGTTCCATAAGAACACAACAAAATTTAAAAAAGAGAAGTGTAACATGCGTGTAGTATAATAATAATAATAATAATATATTTCTGCATGAGCAGTTACACGCCATTTTTACATGCATGATCTACAAATTACAACATTTGTTGGAGCATAGCATGCTTCCTAACTTATTAAGTTTATAGTTGTTATAAAGTAGTCTCGTAGAGCGCTTGTTATAAACCATGGCCTTGAGTTGACGCATACGTCAAGTTTGTTCCAGACGTTAGAAGTTCCATAGCTGTGCCCTCGGAGCAAGATTCTGAAGATAATAAAAAACAGGAACAACAGAGCAGCAAGGCACTTGGATATGGACTCCAAACGTTGCTTAACATTACGTAGTAGAACAGACAGAGGTATAATAAATTAGATTAAATTCATATTATCTCTTGTTAAAGTGAAATGAAGTCAGAGGCTCCATTTAAGAGAACGTATTAATAAAGGACAATGAATCGTGATGTTTGACAAGTTGGAGTAAGCTCATATGAAGAAAGGGAAGTTAAGGTTGGTACAGGGAAAGCTGTTTATTAGAAGGGAGTATACATATGGAGGGTGAAGTGTTGAAAATATTAATAACTATATCTGTTATTGTCTGATTTTTTCTTTCTTTTTTTCGTTTTTTCGTCCGTCCGATGCCAGCCACACAATCTATGTGTAAAAGTCCGAGTTAGCATGTTATAGGTTGTCTTAGTAGAATAGCCAATCCAGTATAAAATTAGAAACATGAGTCTGAGTGGTGAGCGTAGGAAGACAATCTATTTCTATATAGGAATAGTCCTACACCGTATCCGTTGTTGACTATGCGGTCAGTCGCGAAAGCGTACGGGTAAGCGTACTCGGCGACAGGAACGTCAGACGGTAGTCTCGTTCGTACTTCGTGAGCCTCCGATCTCATCCGAGGTCAAGGGCGGCGTGGTCTGCCGATCTGAACGTGAGGCGAAAGTCTCGTCCGTAGATGGTGCAGATGATACGTGCTGTTGACCGGGACGTGAGAACGCGGTCTCTGATGTATCTAGCTTGGGATCCGAGGTAGATGTAGAGATCCCGTTAGTAGGTTTTATAGGTCTAGCATCGAGTCTCAAGTTATCGGGTAGGGCACTGTCATCGACGGGTGCTGGTTTGAGACGATCAATGCTGACGATCTCGAAGCGTGTCGATCAACCTTGAAGGTTTTTTCGTGACGAGAGATCACGTGAAAAGAGCCTTCGTAAGGCTGTTGCAAAGGTTTGCGTACCGAATCTACTCGTATGAAAACATGTGAACAGGTAGATAACTCTCGAGGGAGAGCGACCTGTCGATATTGTATTCGAGTTGACACTAGAGATAGTGTTCGCATAAATGCAAACAGTCGATGGGTGTAGTCTGATTCACCGAAATCATTACTGCTCCGTGGTGTGAAGAATTCCCCAGGCAGACGCAATGTCGTGCCGTATACAAGTTCAGCAGCGGAACATTGGATATCTGCCTTCAAACTCGTTCTGATGCCTAAGAGAACGAGCGGTAAGGTTTCGTACCAATTGTTGTTTTTGTGTGCTAAACCATTCGATGCTGGATGGTAGGCGGTAGTGAGTATGCGTTCCGTACCAAGCAGCCGGGTCAGTGAGGAGAACAATGCCGACTCAAATTGTTGTCCTCGGTCAATCGTGACATTCGAGGGACAACCGTACAGTGCTATCCATCGTTCTACAAAGCGGTGAGCAACTGTCTCCGCCGTGATAGACGTGATGGGAACAGCTTCGGGCCATCTTGTAAAACGGTCAATGCACGTGAGTATGTGATCATACCCATGCGATGGTGGCAATGGTCCTACAATGTCTATATGAACGTGATCAAAGCGAGCATCAGGCGCAGCGAACGTGCCAATGGGGGCAGCTACGTGCCTGTGCACTTTTGATCGTTGACACTGTAAGCATTGCTTTACCCACATACGAACATCTTTATTCATGGACGGCCAGACGTATCGTGCAGCGATGAGACGTGATGTGGCTGCGATACCTGGATGAGACAATCAATGAAGGACATCGAAGACGAGACGGCGATAGGTAGAGGGTACGATGGGTCTAGGAAGATCTGTAGAAATATCACATAGGATAGTACCTGAGCTAGTAGCTAGGGGTACTTCCTGACACTGAAGGGACGAAGATTGTGGTGCTTCTGTACAGACAGGATCGTTTGCTTGAGCAGCGGCCATAGCAGGAAGATCGAGCACCGGTAAGGTAACTGCATTCGTCTGCATACGAGATAGAGCATCGGCAACATAGTTCGACTCGCCTTTAATGTGACGAAGGTCTGTCGTGAAAATGCAGTACGTGCGGTATCATTCAATTATAATTTACGTGGATTACCGCGAAGTAAATCGGTTAATGGTCGTAATCGTTCTGCCGCGTGCGGGATAAAACGTCGGTAGAAGTTAACAAAACCGAGAAAACCCTTCAGTTCCTTGAGTGAGGACGGCACGTTGTACTCCTTGATTGCTCGAACTTTGTCCTCGCAAGGCAGAGTACCCTCTTGTCTGATGATGTGACCCAAAATTATTATTTCTGGTTTACCCAATTCACACTTGTCTGGGTTGACTACTATTCCATTATCCGAGAGGCGTTGGAATAATAGTGTAAGATGTTGATAATATTCATCCACGTTTGATGATGCGATTAGCAGTTCATCAATATAGACTTGAACAAAATAAAAGTTTCGTACTGTGCTATCGATAAACCTTTGGAAAGTTTGAGCAGCATTCCGTAATCCAAATGGCATTCGAAGGAACTCAAATAGACCAAAAGGATTCGTGATAGCGGTTTTCTCAATATCCTTAAGAGCGACTGGGATCTGGTGATATGGTCGTACCAGATAGATTTTAGAAAATATAGTCGTGCCCTTGAGCGATGCCGTGATGTCATGTATGTGGGGGATGGGGTAGCTATCAAAGCGCGTAACTACGATTGATGCTCGGTAGTCGCCGCATGGTCTCCAGCTAACCCCATCCTTTTTGCGCACCATGTGTAAAGGAGAGGCCCAAGGACTGTGAGAAGGACGAATAATACCAGCAGATAGTAAATTGTCAAACTCACGTTTAGCGAAGGCTAATTTGTCCGGTGCCAGTCGGCGTGGTCTTGCCGTGACTGGTGGTCCGCGGGTGACTATGTGGTGTACCACACGATTGGTCACCGATGAAATCTCCTCGAGTGGTTTAGTTATTCTGGGGAATTTCTCGAATAAAGCGTGGAATTTATTGTCACGCGAATAAAAAGTGCCGAGGATTCGGTACGCGTACATCGGAGTCTATTATATTAATACTATTCTTATCGTTATCCGTCATGTCAAGTATATTATATATTAAAAATTAATGTGAAAATATACGACAGACGTGGATAGATAAACAATAGACTCATCGAATTGCTTTCTTTGGAAGATTTGACCGAGGTTGTGATGTGTTCCAAGATTTGGCTCACCAATTGTAGCGTGGTGTCTAGTTGGGCTTGACTATGAACACCGCTACAAGACTACGTGCCAATTAACCAATAAGATCCCCGTAGGCCAATATCAGAAGACAGATGATGGCTGTAGTCGAGATGTATTTGTTGGCGATCTCGTGGTATCGAAAGAATACCGAGATCGTGCCAAAGGAGTACAAGTGGGATCGGCAGGAGAAAGTACGTGCGTAGAGTCACAAACCGCGCAGAAGTAATGGAGTTCAATGGAAGGCCATAATGGCTGTCATTAAAACAGTTAAACAAACGAGCACGGTAAAACACTCACTGGTACAACTGGTTATAATAATAATTGTTTTCATCGAACCAGTCGCGTTCTGTTGACAAAAGTAGGTCACTACAAGTTCATCAATTTCACTGAGTCATAGACAAATCAACCGGAAGTTGGGCCACTGAATATAGAGCAGTACATTGATACTCTTCAAGGAACACCACTGAATGGGCCGGTCCATGGCGTGCAATTAGTGGATGCGCGTTATTTGACCTCGACCTTGATGGGGATTAATGAACAGTTTGACAACTGCCTGATGACTTGACTAGGGATCAGTGACATTTCAATAGTCGGACAGTGAAAATGGCCTGATGTTCATATAAGCGCCTCATAAGGCAAGCAATTAAGTTACAACTTTCATGCTATAGGCTAATCAGCTCAACTTCGTGGTTGCAGTGCTCATGTTCGACTTGTGATTAATTGGCTTTACCGACAAAGTAAATATTCCTTTACTTTGAATAACTACTTGTGGTAACTCTCATTGTTCGGGGAAGAAGTTACTCCATTCTGGATCAGCATAAAAGCAAAATCAATCTAATCCACTAGAATCTAGATTAAAAGAAATTAAAATGTCAATATTGGTCCTACGTCTTTAGACTCGTGGTGTTAAGGTCAGTTGAAGGTCAGACCGCGATACATATGTTTGTTATGAGATTGTCATAGGTTACTGACTGTTTGATAATATTTGTAGATGATTTGAGATTGTTAAGCATTAGTCCTGAATCAGGTCTTCATTTCTTTGCATGCTGCAAGTTGGACGGATCTGTACTTTAGTTTTCTGATAAAATTATATTCTCATCCATCTGCTCTCACACGCTGTTTAACTAACTAGCATTTCAATTATAACTTTAATGTTGATTATATCGTTGGTCGAGAGAATTAGGCATCATTCACATTTTAACTCGAAACGTTTTGACTGTTTCGACAATGATCTCTTATACAGAAGCGACCAAAACACAGTCTGTGAGATGTGTATTAATGGATACGGTGCGCTTGGTTAGATATGTTATAGATATCCTTAGAAGCAGCTAAATCGGATGAAATACAGGCATTCTAGTTTTTTTAAGCCCAACAGAACGGTACATAAAAGCATTTGACTTATTATAACCGACTTGACTAGATATGCCATTAGACAGGTAATTTTATACGCTCTTGTAAAGAATCTACTTGTAGGGAAACTCAAAATAACGACTTGATCCCCTTGGCTTCTGACTTACGTAGCATATTTTACCTTAACATAATTTGTACACGTAACATTAGTTACCTGTATGGTCGGATAATACTAGTTACCTGTAAGAAATAATATTATTTTTACTGTTAATTTAAACTTTTGCTAATTGTACGTCACTTACTGATTTCAGATATTTGGGTTATATGAAAATGGCTGTTTACTGTAAGACCGCTAATCACGAATCGAGTACCGACGGAGATATCCAGTCCACTACATCTCAAAATGATGACCATGCTAATCAGCCACGAGATCCCCATACAATAGGAAAAAAAATAAAGTGATCCTAAATATTTACTCAAATTATACTAACCTTTCTGTAGTGAGTATCAGGCACTCATGAGTTTAATCAAGGGTAATATTGGCACTGGGATACTTTCTATGCCAGTTGTTTTGAGATATGCTGGTCTGTGGGTAAATTTGTATTTGTATTTTTCTTATTTTCAAGACTGGGTTTACTATGATTATAGTATCAGGGATTTTGTCAACTTACTTAATGCATGTTCTTTTGAGAACTGCCAATGCAGTTCAGCAAAGGTATGCATTCATGAATCGCACTTGTTTATTTTGGAATCATATAGACACAATTGGGATAGATCAAAGATGGATTATGCGGAGACCGCATTTTTAGTGCTCAAATATGGTCCAGAAAGATTAAGAAAACCCAAAGGAAAGTTAAAGTATGTTTTTGATATTTAGTTGTGTCAAACTCGATTTATTTTAGACATACGGTCAATGGATTTTTGATTTTGACACAAGTTGGGTCTTGTTGTGTTTACACCCTATTTATCACTGAAAATATTCGATACGTAGGTTTATTAAATGTGTTTTGTGCGTTGATTTCACTTTCTTCAGTCAATTGTGCACTGATATATATCTTATATTAACGAAAGTAAAACAAAACCGAAGAAATATACGTTACTCTGTAGCTATAGTTCACATATCAACAATGATAGTAAGTTAGGGAAATGCAAATGCAGACTAAAGTCATATTTCGCAACATCAAGTAACGAACGCGCTGCAAACTTTTCGAAATATAATTATTCACACCGTCTTTATTGAACAAACCATAGTCATCTGCTGACTCCAATTTAGTGAATTTTCGTATGGAAAGCCATTCCATAATTTAAAGTATGCTACGTTAATCAGGATTAAAAAAATAGAATAAAAGTGTAAAATATGAACAGCATCGACCCAGATATTTTAAATCAGTCGATTCAGATAACAGCTCACTGTAATGTCTAAACAGATAGTGAATATTCCAGTAGATAGGTTGCTCTGTAGTTGCATCTTTGGTCTTTATCTTATTGACAAAGGTTGCTACTAAGCTAAAGTTATTTTACTAAACTCTGTCTTAAATTAAAACTATCCAATTCTGGTTTCGAATTCAACCATATACATAAATAAAGACCACAAACTCTACCTAATCTTCAGCTACTTAAATGGTTCGCCACCTTCCTTGCACGAGGTTAAGTCATCAGCTACACTTTTACCCTGAGTGAGGATCGTTGATTCAGTATACCGTCTAAACACTAGACGTTCTAACATGTATTTTAGAGTACGGTCCTGAAAAATGAAGGATTGGATTTTATTAGCTCCGGTCGTTATCATTAGGGTGAGTTGGAAAACCCTGATTCCAAACCAATGGTGCACATGAGCTCCAGTATCCCGAGGGAACAAATGGCATGTGAACCAATCGTTGGTCACCGGCTACCATGGGACTGCATCTTCCTACGATGCTCCACTGCCTTGTGGATCAGACCTTTAGGTCGAAGGCTTTTGGTGTGGCCCCCTAAAAAAACCATCTGCTTTGGTTTGGGCACCTTAACAATATCACAGCCGTCACACAAATTAACTGAGATTTGTGTGGCGTATATGTATTTGGTGCCTCCTTGTACCAATATCTGTGTTCAAACAATAAGAATAATAGCAATAGATTTAAGTATCGGACATGGTTAAATATTAACTGTATATTGAAAGGCTAAAGAACATCAGACGAAATGATAGGAAGCGTCTTCAGTACCATTCGTTCATGAAAAAACTCGTGCTGGTACGTCGCCCCGTATATATGGTCATGAGACCTCATCCACAATCTCTGAGTTATCCCATTTTTTCCAATTGCTCTCCAATTAACCTGTCTGATATGTTTTTGATCCCAAGAAACAAATTTCCTAATTAATATGCTATAATTTATCATTTCTGGTTGAATTTCTCCCGCCACCAACTATTTTAGGTGAAAATATTATCCACTGAATATAGGACTAGATTTAAAATGTAATCTAAGCAGTAAATAGTCATTCTTTTACATGGTAAAATTAAAATGTGGGCTGAACAGAGCTGTATATTTTTTGTGGAGATGAATCCACTCACATGCAAACTTGGCTCATAAGTTATACAGCCGTGAAAAAGTAAGTACATAAAGCTAAAACAAGAAACTCGTATGTTTTCAACTGTGGTCGATACAGTTTGGATATACTAGTTTGTTTGTTTACCGATTTTCTACAAGTGTCAGATACTATGCAGCATTTAAACATTCCGATAATATAAAAAGCTTGCATAATAGAATCCGAGAATAGCTTAATAATTTATAGTGAAGCAGTAAATATTACTCCAAAATATATATTTAATTAATTATTCAACAAATGATCCCAAATTCATTATTCTTAGTGAACTTAACCAGCCGCATAAACGCGACCAAGCATAGATGATGTTTATTGATACACTATTAGTCACAAGACGCATCTACTGGATGAGTAGCTTATGTGTCTGTTTTATGTTTTATTTTCTCTTAACTAATATTGTCTCTACAAACCATCTGTCGGGTTTATAGTAAATGAGTTCGTGACTTAGTGTCTAACACACTAAGCTTTCAATCAGTGCGTCACAAGTCAAAAAGCTTTCTCACCTGCTTCGGTTTGCTCAGTTGATCAGTATCGCTAGCCCCTTCACGTGAAGTATGACCTAAAGCAGAGTATGTAAACCTGTAAATAATTTAAATTTACGTAAATACTCCTGGTCTCCTATATATCAATTTATGATGGTTTCCTGCTAAACAACGGTAGTGTGTTGTATATTATCTTAAGTAAATAGGCTTTGTGCCATATATAATAGTAATACTTTTTTTCTATCTTATGTTTTTTTGCAGTTTTTAATGTTCTTCTTCCCACATCTAACTCTCAATGTGTATCTAGTGGGATTTATTGTTTGTCTAATACTAATTCTAATGAATTTTAAAAGTAGTATGCGTGTAGTCACCTATTTATCCGGTTTGGCTAATATATGCACTGCGATCGGTATGATATTAATATTCATCTATTTATTCACATCTGGATTACATTCAATACATGAATTTCCGGCTATTACCAATTTCAATGGTCTACTAATTGCATTTAGTATTGTCATGTTTTCATTTGAAGGAATTAGTCTGGTAAGTAAAAGTCATATTTATTTGATAACATTGTATCCTTAAGTTTTACCTCCGTGTGTATATGTGTGTCTGTGGATGTTGGGATTACCGATGATTGTGGTGTGTACAAGCTATTTTGAAAAAAAAACATTTGGTCGTAAAATATATTGAGTTATTGACTTGATGACTTCAATGGTTGGAGGACTCAGTATTCAGTCAATGGGCCGCAACTTCGAATCTCATGTTATATATTTCATTTTCAACGCAACCGGATAGCAATACTAGCTTTCAAGTAACCAGTATGGCTCAAAGCTAAGCACATGAGACGTGTAATTGGTTATTAAATTACTTAAAAAATAAAAAACGACGTTCAATAGTCTCTCTACACTAATAAAAGATGTTTCTTTTCCACGTAAGCAACTTTTATGGACTACTTTTTTCATTTTAACGATGTGATGTTTATAATTCTGCGTCAAATGGTATAACTTGGTTAGATTATCGTAATGTCGTTTAAGTATTTTTACAATATGGGTTGTATTACAGTGATATTTGCGTTGTAATTGTAAATTGATAATGGCTACATATCGAAATGGAATTGTCAATGAAACAAACGCTGCTTTACCATTAAAGACATTGACACAAAAACGATCTTTAGAGACGCTAATTTTTGTCTTGTAATATGGGAATGTTAGGCCTAAGAATAGGTGTTTCTGATCTATGACCATCCATATATCTTGGTACCGCTTGACCTTCAAACAGTGTGCCAAAGTTTTGTAACTCACTCCGTCTGTTGCTTAATTACCCAGGTAGTATCACTGTACTTCACCATTTTAAGTATAGTTAAAAGCCATAATATGTAGACTCGTACATGATAAATAAATTTAGCTTATTTTGTCACAAACAAGTAGCAATCAAAAAGTCATATATTTTTATAAATATTTGTATGTTGTGGTGGAATTCCTGGAATAATGCCATCTATTTATTTATCTAATCAAGCTTTTAGCCACAGGAATTGACGGATATGATATGATATCACGCGTCTAGTGATAAAATCTTTCGATTTATTTTATGCTGTGATCCAGTTTGTCCTTCCTATTTGATCTGAAAGCCTCTATCTCTGTCTTATCTGACTAATTGATTGGTGATCCAGTGTAAACCAACTATTCCAACTTCACAGACTCCATTAATTTTCACACTAGATTATACAATAGGCTATCATTACATATTTGAGAAATTTTACGTACATATTAAAGCTTTCACGAACGTCGTTTTATCCTTATTGTTGAACAATGGTCTAAATCCCAACAAACATTTAAATTTTGTAGTTTACATTATGTGTTGGTCTTAGAAAACTATTGAAAATCGGGAAGCACTAGGCAGCTATTTCATTTTATTATGTACATCCACGATCCCACTTTCGATAGAATCCAAGATTTTCTGGTCTTGGGGTTAGCGGTTAACCACTTGAGTTAAGTGGCTAAACCCTTTATATGTTAGTCTATATATTTGTTTATTAGTTTGTAATCGAACTATATATATATATATATATATATATATATATATATATAGTTCGATCGTTTAGAGCTTCGGGTTAAACTCAATTTGTTCATGTCATTTTAAGCAGTTTTTTGTCAAGCCATGTATTTAGCGTTATTTACTAACTATTCATAATATCATATGTCATTTTACTATTTCAATCGATTGTACTATGTTTATTCTCTTTGTTTTTTTTTTAAACAGTCGAAATCTAACAAAATTTACATATCCATACAACTTTTTATTATATATTAATTGTAAAAACACTTAATTTTTGTATTTAATTATTCAGCTACATCTTACATAATGCAAAATTTTGATTGATGCACATGTGTCTCAGTTAAATTACAATATCATGTGATGATTTACTTAGCTTATTTTTTTTTTTCAAAGGCTTTGTTAAAATATTATTTGAGTGAAGATGCTGATAAAATGCAGAGTCTTTTGGTAGCACTAAGCAACAATGCCAGAATGTTTGGGATGCACTTCTCTCGCTCTAAATGCAATTTGTTGCTTCAGGACTGGTCTGCGTCAACAATCGAATTACGAATAGGGAGTGAAGTAGTCGAACGTGTTGACAACTTCACTTATCTTGGAAGTCTGATCAACCTTAATGGGTTGGTGTCTGACGAAATCTCAGTACGGATTCGAAAGCTTGTTTGGCTTTTGCCAATTTACGTCACCTATGACGAAGGCGAGATATCCGTCTATCAATAAAAGGACGAGTATAGTGCGGGGCAGTTTGTTATGTTTTACTTTACGGCTGCGAAACGTGGCCATTAAGAGTTGAAAATTCTAGTATTTGACCACAGATACCTTGAAAATATTGTTGGCATCTACTGGGATCACCGGGTAAGGAATAGTGAGGTTAGACAGATACAGGGTATTAGGGAATGATGGTAAATCAGTCGATGAGGTTGTGAGTCCTTATCGACTGAGGTGATTGGGCCACGTGTTACGTATACCTGAACACCAATTACCATGACGTGCAATGCTAACTGGTGTTGGGGATGGTTGGAGGAATGTTAGGGGCGGCCAAACCAAAACGTAGCATCAGTGGTTGAAGTCACTAACTTCTGATCTGAGCCATGTTGGTAGATGCAGACTACTTGGTTGAGGTCCGCGTGACTATCGTAACCAATAATTGGAGACTCTGTGTGATATGGCTCAGAATCGATCACAGTGGCGTCGGTAAATACACTCTCTGTCTTTAAACTATGAGATTTAAATCGCTTCATATCTTTCTTTGAAGTAATTCCTTCTTGCTGTACTATGACTTTATATGCAATCTTTCTTTTATATATTATCACCATTGACTGAACTACTGTGAATCCGGTGTTCATGTTGCTGTACTAATTAGGTATGGCAACTTGTACTGATGCATATATGTGCCTGGTCCTACGTTGTAGCTGGCTGATTGATTTGATTCTGAAATTTGTAGGTCGTGGAGTATTTCTTGTTTACAAGTGTACTTGCTACAAAAGTTTGTATGTGTTCTTGGCTTACTTATATGGTTAAAACAAGTAGTAACCTAAGTTTTTTTTATAATTGTGACTGATTAACGGTTGTTAAAAATGTTTAATCACGTGGGTCAGTTAAAATTTATTACATTCGTTTTGTAGACTAGTTTAATCTTTTGATATTGTGTACATATTGTTATTGATTAATTAATGTTTAATAACGTCTAATTCAGGTTATTTTATATCAACTAGTGATCAATATACGCAAAATGTACAAAAATCAGTGGCTTATTACCCCAACCATGTGGGTACGTTTTCATGGGCGCGCCAGGATATTTTAGGTAGCTGCACTGGAACTTAAATTGTCATCCATACATCGGAGTGCTTATCATCGGTATCTCATCTTTGACATATTGTTTAAGTACTAGTTTGGTTTAAAAGGTGACGTACAACATGCAGCATTTTTTCATTAGATGTTCCAAGTCGGTGTATCAAGATGTCACCCATTATGTCGCCTTTAAAATCAGGTGTTAGACAAAAAGATTTTAGGCACATTGTTGGCCTTTCTCCTATTTTACCGTTTTGACAAGTAGTTTTTGGAGTCTATTTGTAACGCTTTCCTTTCCCACTTGGTAGAGATAGTGAAAGTGGAACAGAAAAATGGTCAATTGGTTTATGTCAAGTTTCTATCAGTCTACCTACGGATTACGCCTCCTCTACTCAGACGATGCCATCGGAACCAACTTCCGTAAGCCGGACTTGTGTGTCCAAAGGAGGTGTATTCAGCCTCTGATTTTCGTGGCTCACAATTAAGTTACTTCATAAATAAGCTAGATTTTATAAACTCATACTCACCCCAATTTGTTTTTATATTTATCTCTGCCCTTCCCCATCCGTAATTTGTATTCATCTTTCTTAATTCACATAGATTTCTTATCAGACTTCTTTTATGACCGTTGTATTACAGCATCGATGGATTTATAAAACTGTAAAAACCGATAGTAATGAAGTTTTTTGGAAACAATTGTTTGCTCAGATTATTTCCTGTTTTTTTTTAAATACTCTGCTCATTTCCAAACCGGCAAAATGTTGGCAAATCTATAATTTATAGACAATCTTTAAGTGATTCCTAAGTGGTTTTAAGAAACCTCAATTAGTTACTCGGATTAAAACAGAGTTATATATCATTATGAGGTATTAGAGGAAATTATGTATTAATGATGTTAATTAAAGAAAGCATCAAAATTCATATTTCCAAAATTGTTATGCAGTTTCTCTGAATGGTTATGAAAAGACTGAATAACCATTTTGTTCCAGCTGCCACATCATTTGTTGTTGTTATTATTATTATTATATATGAACTGATTTAAGTAGTTAGTTAACAGGTATTTTTAAATAGTGACATATGGTTTTATTATTTGTATAGGTTTTCATTTTACGTTATTGATACTGACGATCTGAATGTGATAATTTTCTGTTAGCATATAAACTGTTTTATTGAGGGACTTATTGTGAAATTCTATTGGTGACTAGATATACCATTTAGTTGATTAAGCTTAGCTAATTAGTGGATCACAATCTGACGTTCGAAGCGAAAGGTACTGGATTCTATTCTTTGTGGATACAGATTTGACAGATATATCCAGCTAACGGGTCTCAAATCGAAGAAACATATATATTGTATATGCCTTTATTTGCCAAAATCTAAAATATTTTAAAAGCGGTTTGTACTTTGTTCAATATATAACTTTTGTTTTTTTGTTGTCTAAACTATGCACAACAAATACGTAGATTTTTTGTAAGTGCAATCCTTAAGAAAAAATCCAACTTTGGTAATAGTTTTTTCATATAAAACACCTTTTTAATGGTCTTTAATGACTTGATGGGTCTAATCATTAACAGGATTAATTGTTCTTGATGGAAAAATCTTTTTTTTTTTTGAGACTGATATGAAGTGATATCATTACTATTATTCAAGTCGTCGGTAAATACACTCCCAACGAGTAGTCAGTTATCTTGTGGTGTGGGTTACTTATATCCACACAAGTAGTATATAACGGTGGTCGGGCATAGAATGTATTTCAGTGGAAGGTCGATGAGGAAAGAACGGGAACGGAACGCAATTGATATGTTAATTCATGAACAGTGAAATCTGAGACAATCGATTGATGTTTGCAACAGGAACAGTGAAGTTTGAGATGATGGATTGATATTTTGTAAATTAATGATTTAATATATGGTTCTGAGATTTCAGTGAGATGCTCTGTAATTTAGTGTGAAATACATTCGATTGTCCCCACTGGTGTTCTTGTTCACTACAATCTGAAGTAGTAAAAATTTACTGAAATTTAACTCAGATGCATATCAACTACAATACATCCGATATATATCTCTTAGTGTTTTCTTACCTAAACTCTATACTCTATTATATACTACGCAGTAAATAAAAACCTGGAATATTGTTTGAGAGCTAATGACACCACATGGTTGCTTAAACAAAAGTGTGGACGGAATTAGGAATGAACTTGCTACCCATTAATTGAAAGTGAAGTGTTGCGGCTTTATAATCATCGCTAACCTATCACTTACAGCATAAAACATACATATACTTAATGACCTAATGAATTATGTCACTTGAGATGAGTATGAATTTAAACTAGTTTCAGTTCAAAAACAGAATTTAATTCAAATTTCTTGAAATTTGCTCAAGCGTGATGTGCAGAAAGTTTCTCTCTCTCCTTGTCAAGAAAACTATTGCAGGTTCTCCACTGGTGTGACGAACCAGTAAGTTATACAATTTCTTTACGACACTAACTGTAGAGTTGTGATAGATAGATACTCCTTAGTCCTATATAGCTTTCGGACCAGTGAACTGTTATAGACTGTTCACTTGTCCATGATATACATATGTTGAACTCCACTGTTACCGTCTTTAATTAAAAAGATGTGGTGTAATTTGCAATCACACATTATGTTATGTTATTAATTTTTACTCAAATTTAGGTATTACCTATTCAAAGTAAAATGATTGATCCTACTGGATATGGTGTACGATTTGGTGTTTTAACTACTGGCATGATTATTGTTATCTGCATGAATGTAGCTGTTGGATTTTATGGGTTTTTAAAATTTGGTGAAGAATCTGAAGGAAGTATTACGTTAAATATACCACAAGTGCCTTAGTAAGTTCAAGTTGTTTACTGACTTAAGATGATAGTGATATCATGTATTTCCTTGTATGTAATCTGTAACATGTCGTTTCACATAAAACTTACACTTCTCGGTTAGTGATTCGCTTGATATTTTTTGCGCGGAACTGCTGTGTTTATTTAAAAACATTAAATCTGTGATGTGTTAAAATTTTGCACTGTTTCTTAATAACTGATATAGAAAGTAGATTACTCTAGGGAGTGCTGAACTTAGACTTCAGGTACAAGGTAAATATGGCAAGTACGTTGATGTAGTAATTAAGCCATCAATTGAGATGGTCAAAACATGTGTTATGTTTGACCAACTACCCCTTACCTCGATGCAATATATTTAGAGCCATATTAGTAGGTTGGAAAAAAGCCAAGACGTCACATTAATCCATGAATTCATTGACTGTTTTACTGAGCTGTATTGGTAGATGCAGACTTTCTGGTTATGGTCAGCGCGTTTATTCCGACCAATGGTCGGAGACGTTGGGTGGCATGGTTCAGAATCGGTCATATTCGCAATCCCATTTAAATGTACTAATGAGGTCTTCCAGCTTAAACCAATTCACACCTGTGCCACGTTATATGTCGCGCTAAACTCACTGACCGACAATGGCATGAATGCATTCACTCTTTGTCTTATATTGTTTATTCCTTTTATTCGTCGAATCCATTTTTCCCGGATTATATTGTCGGTCTCTAATCATTTTTACTCTTGCTTATACTATCACTATTTTTACTACTGTCGAAGTGTTTTGATAACACCATGTTCTTGTACTAGTACAGTTTGGTGACCGATGCACATATGTGTCACGCTCTATGTTGCTTATGACTGATTAACTTATAGATTACTTCCAAATTGTTCCAGTGAACCAATATGGGTTTTTTGTTGGACATCTTAAAAATTATGTCATGGGATTTATACCCTGATTTTAGCCTTCCGTGCATTATTGAGTAATCATCGTTATTTTCCATGTTCATTCGATATTTCAATTATATCGAATTTTATCATCAAAATATTCAGTTTTGTAACTTGTAAAGTAGGTCGCAGATTCAGACCTATCTCATGATTATTTCCGTTTAGACATTGAAGGAACAAGTAAGTATCATAATGTAGCTCAAAGTTGTTTTCATAAACACTTGTACTGTGGTGTATGCTACTTATGTTTGCAGATATGAGTAGTATATAACTCCAATCGGAAGTGGGATGTCTGCGATCAGAAGGTTGAGAATATTGAAATGAAGAAAAGGAAACTGAAAACAATCAAGATAACCATAGGAATGATGGGACAATAAAGCTTGTAAGAGAAAATTCAAAGAAGGTGTACAAATGATGTATTTGATGTATGATTTCCACATTTTACTAAACCACTGTGTGATTCTGCATTAAACAACAAATTGATCTTCCCCACCTTAGTGTTCATTCACTACAGTATTATTGATTAAAAATGTCATAATAAAATTAACTATTATCATTAAGCATCCCATTCATATATATATGGGATACATGTAGATGTAGCAGAAACAGTTAACTTATCCTTTAGTTGAGGAATCACCATATATCAGCTGGAGCACGACAGACAGATGTTAGTTGCACTAAATGAAATATTAATACAAGCTTTTGTTATTCTTATCACAATTAGTACACCCATCGTCACATTGTCAATTTGTACTTTTCACTTATTTATGTAATCTATTCCATTGTTCTCATTGGCTCACAAACTGTTTTGATTATTTTAAGTTTCGTATAGGCATATAAATATTACTGTATATTACAGTAAAACCTGATGAGAATCTAATTTTAAAACAATATTGTTCGCTTATATATGTTGTAACATACAAGACACGAAATGACAAAATCAAATAGCCATATTAAAATCAATGACTTTTCACTTCTCCTTATCATATCGATAATTCAATATACCAAACACATTTATTATGGATGAAACTATTTTATACACAATTGTTTTGTGATTTCACTTACATTTGATAATTCTGACTTTTTGATCCATTCCCTGACGAAGATCAAACCTGACTAACTTATGGGTGTAATTTCTTTTATTGAGATCACGAACCGATTGATGTTAGACCATCATTAAAAATCTGGAAAGACTGGACGGCTGTTACGTCCTAATATGAGACTCCTCAGCAGTGCGCATCCACGACCCCGCACACTGAACTACTAATTTATAAACGATCACAAAACATCGTGGATTAGTTGAAGTTAAACATTAGCACCATCACATCTCTACTCAGTGGTCTAGAGACTAAGCCTATATGTTGTTCTAAATTTGTGTATTGTTGTTTTATTCATTACATACATTATGTAATAGATTACATTAATACTATTCGGTAAATTCTTTTGAAGTAGTTTATCATTCACAATATACTAACCTATATCTGTTAACGTTCCAAAGTTTATTTAACTTATATCAGTAAATCTAATTGAAATGAATAGAAACAATATCAATTTATCAAAGAAATTTTCTATGATAAAAATAAATTATTTAATGTTTTTTACTTGTTTATATTCATAAATGATCTTGTAAAAATACATTGATAGACTATTCAAATTACAATTTAATTGACCTTGGAAAAAAATTATTTACATTTTAAAATTATTATTTGATGACATAATATTTCATACAAAACATTGGTAATTATACAATCCTATTGAAGTCTTCTATAGAGCTCTAGTATTCAAACCATAACTTTTATTCTGATATGATATACAGTATTGTTTGTCTAGATGATTTAATCGAGTTATACTGCCAGGATTGCCTCCACCAAATACCCTGATACGGTCGAGAGTAAGGAGAGTCACTTCTCTCTCTCTCTCTCTCGAAATGCTCTCACATGGCCACGCGTATATAGCCTCTGCCAGGGAAGTTCTACTCACTGCCTTCTCGTGGCGGGGGTGTTGTTTACGGAAGTGAGAGGACGAAAAGCAAATGTCCGGCGCTTTAACTGGGTTGGTGGACACGGAGAGTCCATCTAGGGGAGTTGAAAAACCCTGATTCCAAACCAATAGTGCACATGTGGTCCAGGATCCTAAAGAAACAGATGGCATATGAACCTATTGTTGGTCACCGGCTACCATGGGACTGCATTACCTTACGATACTCCACTGCCTTGTGGATCACACCTTCAGGTCGAAAGCTTCGGGTGTGGCCTATTAAGAAAACCATCTGCTTCGGTTTGGGCACCCGGACAGTATCATAGCCGTCACACAAATCAAAGGAGATTTGTATGGCGTATATGTATCTAGTGCCCCTTTGTACCAGTATTTATGTGTTCAACTAGATAATACTGCCAGGATTACATGTCTTTTATTTCCTACTGTGTCAGTCAATTCAGATGAGGAATAATAAAACTAAAATCAGCAAGTCAAAGTTTAACGATGCAGTTGTACTACTGACTATGTTGAAATGTCATATCAGTAAGTTTTCGGCGAGATTATAATTTATGGCTGAACCAATCAGATATAAGATAACAGGTCTCAGATTTTTGCTCGAAATCCACCCATCCATTTGGCTAAATAGAGTTTTGACATTATAGCTAATGTCAGCATGTAATGAAAACCCTAAGTATTTTTCCTAACCTTAACCATCAACTATAAATTATAATTCCAATTCCTCTCACTGATTTATAACCCTCATTTGGTCCTAGTTACTAGGTGTACACTCTCAAGGCCACTTAGGCGTCGCTCAAAAGTCGTCCATATATTATAGTCTCACCAAGTTTTCTCAGATAATCAGCATATTTTCAGGGATGCTAACTGTCGACGATGAAATGAAGAGGGTTTATAAAAGTTCGACTATAAAAGTAACATTTTTTATCCTACCTCACATTTTTCTATACTAGTAGGCCGTAATGTCACCACCCCAACAAGTCACTAAAAGTTTGTATGTGACATGCTTCAAGCAGTTGCACTTCGGGCTCTGTGGATATACTCCTATGTCGTCGAATTCACTGCTAGTACAGTTTTGTTTTTAGATACCTCAATAAGAAGTATCCTTCCACGGCGTGGGAAAACTTGCCAGTTAATATGTTGTTCTTAAATGGAACATTTTATTTAAATATATAAACAAGGGGGAAGCAAATATATATAGGTCACACTTCATTAGATTTGTGTGAGCTCAGATACTTCTCAGGCTCCCAAACTGAGGCTGCTGTTCTTAGGAGGCCACACCCGGAGCCTTCGACATAGAGGTCTGGTCCACAAGGCACTGGAGTATCGTTTATTTATTTATTTATTTTAACACATAGATATTGGTACAAGGAGGCACCAAATACATATGCGCCACACAACTCATTTGATTAGTGTGAGGGCTGTGATACTGCCCGGGTGCCCAAACCGAAGCAGGTGGTTTCCTTAGGGGGCCACACCCCGAGCCTACGACCTGAAGATCTGACCCACAAGGCAGTGGAGCATCGTAAGGAGATGCAGTCCCATGGTAGCCGGTGACCAACGATTGGTTCATACGCCATTTGTTCCGTCAGGATACTGGAGCCCATGTGCACCATTGGTTTGGAATCCGGTCAAAGCATCAGACATTCGCTTTTCGTCCTCTCATTTTCGTAAACAACACCCCCGCCATGCGGAGGCAGTGAGTAGGACTTCCCTGGCAGAGGCTATATACGCATGGCCATGTGAGAGCATTTCGAGAGAGAGAGAGAGAGAGAACTGACTCTCCCCACTCTCGGCCGTACCAGGGCATTTGGGGGCAATACAGTCCTATGGTAGCCGGTGACCAACAATAGGTTCATATGCCATCTGTTTCTTTAGAATCCTGGAACCCATGTGTACCATTGGTTTGTAATCAGGGTTTTCCAACCCCCCTATATGGATCCTCCATATCCACCAACCCAGTTAAAGCGCCGGACATTCGCTTTTCGTCCTCTCAATTTCGTAAACAACACTCCCGCCACGAGAAGGCAGTGAGTAGGACTTCCCTGACAGAGGCTATATACTCATGGCCATGTGAGAGCATTTCGAGAGGTAGAGCTGACTCTCCCCACCCTCGGCCGTACCAGGGTATGATATCAAACAATTTCGTGTTTATCAGTACAATGTTTATATTATAAAATTTTCCAAGCACAGGCCTATGTAATTGGCTGCGTTTCTCTGATTATCTGTTTGTATAAATGAGTATATGAAACATATGTATTCAAAATTCACCCTCGTTTTTGGCTTACTTTATTGTGTTGTTCTCTAACTCAAATTAAATCGGTAAAAATATACGAGGGTTGATGGCATGTATATTTAATGATAAAAATCGGCATACGACTTGACTGGGGTTAGATATATGGTCACCAAAAGCGGGTCACGTCAGGTCTTGTGCGAACGCTTAACCGTAACTCCCACTGGGTTAGGATCCAGTGATATAATTGTAGTCTCACTCGATTTGCGATTTATGTGACAAGGAAACATAGAGGCTTTCTGACAGTTATCCAACCATCTGTGCTGATTAAATACAGCAAGACCGCGTAAATATATATATATATATATATATATATATATATATATATATATATATATATGTCTGCACTAACATAAACGGGGACATATGAAACTCAACTGTGACTGGACAAATAGTATACTCACCTGCGAATAAGCCCACCTATCTTTTCCACTTCTCTCCACCATGTAACTTTGCAAAAGTAAGTGATCTATCTGACGTTGGAGCAGTACATTATCCATCCGAACTTGGCTTGTTACGATATTCTTTAAGCTTACTGATGATCTTAGTTTTCTCAATTATTTTGTAGAATTTTGACAACATTTTGGATTTCAACAGTTTTATTTGTCTTTCACGTTATGTATATTGCTATCCTAGTGATCTGTTAATAAACCGTTCTGTTTCCTATTATATCTTCCATTATTTTTCACTATAGTTGGTTTGCTCCAGTTAAACCATTGTTTATCATAGCAATGTTCGTCAGTTATTTATTACAGTATTATGTACCAGCGCAAATATTCAGTCGATTAATGGAGAAATTAACATGTCATCATGACGCATCGAATCGTCGACGATATATTAATTTGAAATTAATGCGAATTAGTCTAGTTATATTCTCATGTAAGTTAATATTGTAATTATGAGAACTATGCTGTATTTAATTCGTAGAAAAAAATAATCGTATTTTTCGTATTCCATTTGTTTCACTGACTGTTCTATTCGGATGTCACTTGTCATATTGTTAGTTAGCCGTAAGTAACCTTGAACCTCGTAAATGTTGTGCATCGATTCAAGTTATCACACTATATATCAGTACAGTGTAATAAAATTATTAAGACAAATGTAGTGATAGTATTTACCAATAGTAGAATGGTATAACTTGCTACATGAATGTTCCATACAAGTCATACAAAACATTTAGTAAACTACATGATATGAAAATCATGTTGAATTGGTAGGTCATTTTAGTAAAAGTGGTAAAAATATAATTATTAGGATATTAGTTGTGGTAGGTTGCTTGTAAAGAAATTAGATTTATGTCGAACTGTAAAGTAGTAGCTTAGCTGTTACACGTTTAAACTTCAATATGATTATGATAAGATCACTTAGCCTAACACAAACTGTATGAATCAAAACTAGTTACATAATAAACCTATTTTGGGAAACTAATATTACGGAAATCACGACTACGGAATGTGAGAATACATAGTTACTAAATAATCAGGAAATAATAGAGGGGTGTCTTATAGACGAAAGAGGAATGTGATTTCCAAGAAAACGGAAAAATATAAAAATCAATTAAAAAATATCGTTGTCCTATCAACGTTTCCCGAGAAGATTCTCGCATGATTTTGTGAGGAGAGTTGATAGAACCGAATGAGAGTTGAGCCTGATAGCTAGTCATTAATTTCATTAAGGAGTTGGTGACCTATAGTTCTCATATATTCAAATTGATTGTCTGCTAAATATTTAGTAATATTTATTCTTGTGTTCATTATTTTGTATATTAGCATGTTATTTTGTTGGACGATAAACCTCTTCTACTACACAGTTATTTCGTTTTCTGATATGAAACCTTGTATGACCTTTTAGTCGCTTTTGGCAGTTGTCAGCGTTTACAACTTTAATTAATTTGCCGTGCGTTGGAGTCCTTAAAGAACTTCTCTGGAAGTCTTCATATAATACTGAGTTCAGTAGAAACTTTTCATAGTATTAGAAAAACGATAGATTCATTGTCATGTTCACACTGGATAATTATCGATTTTGTGAAGAATCTTAGCATACTTCAGGATTTAGGTTGATGAAGCTTAAGTGGCTTGTCTTGAATTGTTTTCCGTTTTTAAAGGCTCACAAACCCACCACATGTATGTGATTGCTTTGGAGAAATCATTACCCCTGGGTTTTGGCGTGCAGACGTCGCACCAGGGACAAGTATATATTACATATATACCGGTGACACATTAGTTTTCATCAATTCATCCCATGTTATACGTATAAGTGTATTTGCTCACATGAGGTGGTAGATAGACACCGTTACTGTGAAACATATTTGCTACAACTTACAGTCTCTTACGCATCATATGCATACCACTTGTACGTAAACTTTCTCCAATGCACTTCATGACATACACATAATCATATGCACTCTCAGGGTGGGTTGATGGTCTCCTTAGTATTTGCTGCCACTTCCTTTTGTTATGCCTTCGACCGGCTGTTTCAGGCCACTGATTTTATTAGACATAGAAAGACATTTTAGCCTACGTGCCTTTTGCGAGTCCGGTGCGTACCCTTCTATATACTTACATGATCCGAGGCTCATGGATTTTATATACATAGGCAAACACATCGGGCAGCCTGCAAGATTTTAAGAGCCTCAAGGTTAGGATCCCAAGTAATCCAGTAACAACAGAGTGGTGGATTAATCCTATCTCCGCCAACCACCCAAGTTTGCTAGTAAGGTTGACCCTGCTACCCAGAAGTGCTGCGAGAAGGCTGCTGCCTCCAGGGTGCTTCTAAAATATTAGAGTTGTACATAAACTTATATATCTGTTCTCTGTACCTAAACCACCAGTGAAATTAAAACCTCTTCTCATACTTATCAGATTTTGTCTTCCGTTTTTAACGCAATTGTGAGAGCATTCTGGGATCTAGGAAGCAGCTAGAAAGCCAATGTTAAGGGTACCATACTTATCACAATATATCCTAACCACTCAAGTTAACGGTTAACACTTCTAGTCACTTACTACGCTTTACTTTAGTGACTTACAAGAATATCATACAACACCCGGTCTATCATTATTTAGAAAAAAAAACAACTGTTTATTACGAAATATTTTAAACCAACCTAAAATTATAATGGAACATTGGTCGGATGTTTTATTCTGATTGCTTCAATGACTAAATCAATCTTCAAGTTAAAATTATTCAAACTGCTTAACGGTATCAATTAAAATCTGTAATGGAAAAATTCGTATCTCAATTGTAACAAATACCACCATAATATTGATCTCTTGTTTGGAACCACTTCTTATCACTTTGAATTTCACAATAATAATAATAATAATAATAATAATAATAATAATAATAATAATAATAACTTTATCCAGTGCTGTAAGTTTTATTCCAGTGAATAATTATCACTCCGTCCAAAAGATTTTGAAATCGGTAGATTATTTGCAGTGTTTACTGTTAGAGTCCCCAAATACCGTGGTACGTACGAGAGTGGGAAGAGTCTGCTCTCCGTCTCGAAATGCTCTCACATGCCCACGCGTATATAGCCTCTACCAGGGAAGTCCTACTCACTGCCTCCGCATGGCGGGGGGTGTTGTTTACGAAGTTGAGTGGACGAAAAGCAAATGTCCGGCGCTTTAACTGGGTTGGTGGATATGGAGGATCCATATAGGGGAGTTGGAAAACCCTGATTACAAACCAATGGTGCACATGTGGTCCAGGATCCTAAGGAAACAAACGGCGTATGAACCTATTGTTGGTCACGGGCTACCATAGGACTGCATCTCTTGACGTTGCTCCAGTGCCTTGTAGATCAAACCTTTAAGTCGAAGGCTCCAGATGTGGCTTCCTAAGAAAACCACCTGTTCCAGTTTAGGCACCCGGGCAGTATCCTAGCCCTCACACTAATCAAATGAGTTGTGTGGCTCATATCTATTTGATGCCTTCTAGTACCTATGTTTATGTGTTTACAGTTTGAAAATGAACAATCCGAATGTTCGATTAGTCTTTTATAATCTAATTCCATTATGAAAATTTTAATTTCTTTAAATTTACCTTTATATTTCTAGATGCAGCAGCTGTTTTAATCCCTCGATTAGATTTATTATTATCATTAATTGGATCATTAGCTGGATCAACACTTGCTTTTATATTACCAGCTACTTTAGAAATAATTTTCTTATGGCCTGATCGTCAACAAATTTCATGGTTTTGGTTAACAGTATTTACTAAGCATATAATCTTTATATTAATTGGTCTTTTAAGTTGTTTTGGTGGTTTAATTGCTACAATTATACAAATTATTGAAGCATTCCGCTCTAAATAATCTTAATTAGCATTGATTATGTATGTATTCTATTGTAAATTGTCAATATCTTATACACACACACATTCTTTGTTATTACCTCTGTTGTTAATCAGTTAGACAGAGTATAATATTCATTCATAAATACTCAATTATATTCGTTTATTATTTTTATGTTTACGATATCAGCTAATTATATCAGTCAATCACTGATTCAAATTACTTTCTTAATTTCTAATTCTCATTAAAATATTGATCATTTCAATCGTATTTTGTATTTACCTTCTATTACTTACTTACTTACTTACGCCTGTTACTCCTAATGGAGCATAGGCCGCCGACCAGCATTCTCTAACTCACTCTGTCCTGGGCCTTCTTTTCTAGTTCCATCCAATTCTTGTTCATTTTTCTTATGTCTATCTCCATTTCCCGGCGTAATTTTTTCTTTGATCTTTCTCTCCTCCTTCGACCTTAAGGATTCCATGTGAGGGCTTGTTTTGTGACACAGTTCAGTGCTTTCCTCAATGTATGTCCTAATTACCTTCTATTGCATAATGTAAATTTACATTGTAATGTTTTCTCTTTTAATACAACAATCTTAAACCTGTTTCAAACGATGATATATACCTTTAATGATCTTAGAACATAATTGTTTTCTAGAAAAAAAATCAACTGGACAAAATTTTTTTTATAGTTTTTTTCTGTTTTTCCTTTCCATTTTACTAAAATCTAAACTAATTTCTGTATTGATGTATAAATTATTTTATCATTTCATTGATATACCATTCAGGTATATTATTCAATCTTTCACATTGATTAAAGTATATTTCATTTAAATTTTGATTGACTTCTATCTGAAGTTTGTGCTAATGATGTCGTTCAAAAGAGCGATGAAAGCTCCACGACCAAACCATCCAGCTCAGAGTACAAAACTCCATCAAAATCGTATAGAGTTTCACAATATTTGAGTATCATTTAATACAAAATATTATCAAGGGTTTAGTTTGAATCAGTCAGTTAGTAACAACGTAGAACTTCGTACATATGTACATCAGTTCGAGTTACTATACTACATTAGCATAGAGATGCAGTTGTTGATTCAAATCCTGTAGTGGTAGAGGTAGTAAAAGTATAAGCAGTAATTGAAGAGATTAGGTTTTGAAGATGTTATTCAAGGAGTATAATCCAGTGAAATAAATTTTGAACGAGATGAAAGGAGAATTTGGGAGAACACAAAGAGTAGATGCACCTGCTCCATGTCACATTCAAGGTCTCTAACCATCGGTCGCTATCGTTTCGCGGATTCCAACCAGGTATTCTACATCTACCAACATGACTCAGTCCACTTATCAGTGACTTCATGGATTTGAGCCACTTTATGGTCTGGCCGCCCCTAGCTTTCTTCCAACCTACTCCTACACCCTAAAACATCGCACGTTTGAATAATAATTTACGGTGCTTATAATCTTCTTTGTATATCTTGTAAGAAAAAAAGTATGATGAAGGATTGTAATTATCACGAATAGGTTTTCATTTTTAGTTTTCTTTAATTAATTAATTGATTTATTGGTATTACATAATAATAAATGTTCAAGGGATTATTTGTAATTTATATCATTATTGAGATGTATTAAATTATTTTGATCAAATTAATGGATTCAGAGATAAAATCGGTTCAATTGGTCTGTTGCCTTGACAACACCTTCGAAGTGCAAAGTACTTTTACAAGACTGACAGGGCCCTGATCCTGCACTCACCCTGGGTGGCTGCATGAGTGCTGATGGTGGAGTGAGTGATGAGATCAATTCACATATAGTAAAATCCAGAGCGGCATTTGCCGATTTGGACAAACTTTGGCACCTTTGTGATGTTGGTCTGCCTGTAAAAGATTGGATCTACAACGCGTCGGTGAGAGCAGTTTTGCTCTATGCTTGTGAAACCTGGCCTCTCCGGGTTGAGGATGTCAGACAATTCTCTTTGTTTGACCATCGCTGTCTCCGAAGGATTGCTGACATCATGGCAACATCATGTTAGTAATGCAGAGGTTCGGCGTCGTTTGTTCGAACACAGCCATGATAGTCCAATTGGTGTCACTATCTTGAAACATCGACTTCGGTGGCTTGGATATGTTCTATGAAAAAGCGGAGAAGTGGGCAGTATATGACATGGTGTCGTTGTATGAAAGAAAGCTGAAAAGGCTGGTTTCTGTTAGTCCTTCACAACTTCATGGTTGGAGTCCTAGAGACGGTCCAATACAGTGGTCCGAGATGTTATCAGGCATGGCTGAGAATAGAAGCCAGTGGCGATCCTACTGTTTATGCCATTATTATTATTACCATCATTACTTCACTCCCATACACTAATTTCTGTTCTCTGTTGTTCCTTTTATTATACTAATTTTACATTCTCTATCTCGTCACAACCTCATTGTTATTGTATGACGCATATGTTTTTGGTGACCCTTTGTTGCAATGTTTATGTATTTAAATAAATAAACAAATAAATACTACTTATTTTAAGACAGTAAAGTTGAACTAATTCACTATTCATTTATTCTTCATATTTGTTTTAACTCTAATTATAGTTTACTAAAAACATTTTCCAAAAATCTGTAGGTGAACTTTCGAGAATCTAAATTCATTATGTATAAGTGATTCATAATTATGTAATGATGAAAATATACATGATGTCTTAATGAACAACTGATTACATAGACAATGAATGTTACATGTATAATCATCGGTATAGTTTTAGTTTGGTTCCGAGAAGAGTTCTCTTTTTGGTGAATTCAAAGCTGTACAACCACCAATATATACTTATTTTTCAATATAATAATAATTATAATAATAGTGTGATCATAAAATCTTGTTAGACATGGTAACAGTGAGGTAGAATAAACAAAATATTGAAAACATTACCAAGGTGATTAATAATAATTTTGTAGTTGCGAATATCAAGATGGAAGAAAAACTTATAATTGGGAAAAGGAAAGGTAATATGTTGAAATTGAGATAAAATGTAATCGAACGGATCATGGAAACAGAAACAACTTAATTAGGTGCTAAAGGTATATGGAGATGACAGGAGGGGAGTAGGTGAGTGTAATTACTATCATTTTGAAAATTAAGTATAGGTTTGCGACTGTACAGCATTGGAAATAAACTTGCTGAATCATTTTATTTTATGCCTCAGTGGGTATATCCCTTTTACAAGAAGTATGAGTGACAAGAAAGTTCTTTGCGTATACATAATGATTTGTTACAGTCTTATATTAGCAAGGATTTCACCATAGGTTTATATTTATAGCAATAAAATTATGCTATTTTAAAAGGAGGCAGTAGAGGATGGTCGCGCCATATCGTAGATCGTTTGAATTTAGACATTAATACAGTCGGATGCCGATCCGTTTAATGATTTAAAGGTTGAGTTCGCGTGTGAGACCGAAGGTTCTGGGATCAGATTCAGCGTGCGGGTTCATGGATGAACACTAATGAAGAGTTCAATACTAGGCCGAAACGGTCGTTCATTGCATCCAGTTTTTCTATGGTGATCTAACATTGATCCATTCATGATATCAATATAATCTCAACAATTTCCACAACTTCTTACTGATAAATATAAATTTGTCGAAATTCGTATCTGTATTTCACGAAATGAAATTTTTCGCTAAAGTGATATGCGTTGAATTTATTACCCTTCAAACAATAAAGTGCCAGATATTTACTCACATTATTTCGTCCAAGAAATATAGTTCTTTAATAAGATAGATAAGACATATTCCTTAATAGTTGAATTCATGAGACCACCATGAGAAACCCGGAAGCACCGGACAACCATTCCGTCCTAGTATGGGACTCCTCAGCAGTTCCAATCCCCGATCCTACATGCGGGATTCGAACATAAGACCTTCTGTCTCACACGCGAACAGAGCCTCTACACCACTTAGTCGGTAACTGACGGTATTACTGTCTAAATTCAAATAATCCACGAAGATATATCCTGTAATATTTACCATAATGGCTCAGACTATAAGTTAGTGACTTCAACCACTGATGCTACGTTTTGGTTTGGCCACTCCTAACATTCCTCCAACCATCCCCAACACCAGTTAGCATTGCGTGTAGTGGTAATCGGTGTTAAGGCATACGTAACACGTGGTCCAACTATCTCAGTCGATGAAGACTCACAACCTCATCGACTGATTTACCATCATTCCCTAATACCCTGTATCTGTCTAACCTCACTATTCCTTACCCGGTGATCCCAGTAGATGCCAACAATATTTTCAAGGTATCTGTGGTCAAATACTAGAATTTTCAACTCTTAATGGCCACGTTTCGCAGCCGTAAAGTAAAACATAACAAACTGCCCCGCACTATACTCGTCCTTCTATTGATAGACGGATATCTCGCCTTCATCATAGGTGACAAAAGCCAAACAAGCTTTCGAATCCGTACTGAGATTTCATCAGACACCAACCCACTAGGGTTGATCAGACTTCCAAGATAAGTGAAGTTGTCAACACGTTCGACTACTTCACTCCCTATTCGTAATTCGATTGTTGACGCAGACCAGTCCTGAAGCAACTGACCAAAGTTAACCATACTTATATTTATTTGAAAGATTGCTCTTATGGTTCGCCTATAGAGAAAGAATTCTTTCATAATGAGTTAAAAACATCGGTATACAATATATTTACCTAATTCAATCATAATAACTTCCCAAACTATAAAAGTGATATAGTGTCACCCTAAAAATAAAAAAAAAATCATTTCTATTTGAATAAATGGGAATATTTCAATGAATCAATACAAAAATCAGTGAATTATATAATACAAATTAGATTATATAGTAGTAATACTGTAAGTAATTCATAAAAAGGGAAACAAACATTAACAAATCATATTTAGACTACTTTAGTAAACAATAAAGTAGTGTATACCTAAACTTATTTACATTCTATACTATTAACTTGTATTAACAAGTAATATAATCACTTTTAATTAACATCAGATCAATGTGTACTTAGATATGTTTATACTGTTTAACTGTTTGATTTATATTGTTTGTTTTACCATTTCATATTGTGGTAATTCGTAACCGTCTCCAAAAAACTATTGTTCATAAAATTACAATTAGTAAATGACATTACTAAAGAAATTGTGACCCAGTGACTAAGAAAACCTGTACAAAAAAAAACATTTAGTGCAGCCAGACTAAATGCTATCTTCTACAACCATCCCATCATAAGGATGGACAATAAAGACAGATTGCCTGAGTTCGCCAAATTCATGTGTATTTATCGATTCAACTGTTCCTGTGGAACCAGTTATATAGGGCGTACAATTCGGCAAGTTCTTCATCGTATAACAGAGCACCATCTGTCGTGGTTTAGCAAAGGACAGGTAAGAGTGATTAAAAGTTCTATTCTTGCTCATTTGGTCGACACAGGCCATCAAGTTGAACTGAATAAGGCTTTTAAGGTTATCTACCATATTCTATCAAATTTACGAGTGCGAGTTTTGCACATTGCTGAAGTCATTGCAATCCATGTTCACAAACCTAACCTTTGCATTCAAAAGAAATTTGTACAACCACTTCCAATACCTTTTTACTTTTATCAACATTCATCTCCTGATTCTTACATAACTACTATTCTATTGACCGTCCATTAAAAATTATGTTCCTTCTCTTTTTCGTATATTATGCAACGTATCAACTTCTTGATTTTCGAATAATCACTTTGAATATTATTAATCCTCTTTCTTCCAATTACTCAATGTTAATTTATGATCGAAATGCCATTATGTAATCATTACGTAACGTATCCACTCAATGAG